TAATATATGAGAAATATATAAAATAAATTAAATAAAAATGACAAAATAATTTTTTATTAAAATGATGAAATACAGAATAAATGACATAATTAAAAATACAGAAATGAATTAGATTACATTACTAATAAAACAAATTATTAACATGGATAGCTAAAGATTAGAACTCATCTTTGTAAACTAAATATTGAAAAATTTAAGAACAAATGTTAAGAAAAGAAACAAACCGAAATCTGCACTAAACAGTTTCCTTAAAACAGATTTACCGCCTCCCGATGGATGCTGGAGGTACACCGGTGTTTGTCTCCCAGGATACGACGGTTGAAACCAGCTAATACAGAAGCACCTTCTGAAGAGTTTCGGTGAATTTAACAATAAATGCACACTCCCTAACAAGAACCAAAGAAGCGGCTAATCAAAGAAGATAGGAAAATTTTTCGTTAGTGTAGAAAACCATCTCCAACTTTTTATTTCAAAACACCATCTCATTTCCATCACAAAACCTCTCTAAAACAATCGGCTAAGTTGGAAGAGAAATGTCTCTATTTATACTAGTAAGGGAGAGCTTTAGCGATGAAGGCTAACATTAATGGGGTCATCAAATGTCATCAACTCTAGCTATTAGGGCTAGAGTTACAAATGTTCAAAACTCCAAAACCATTATATAAATCATAATGTGTATATAATGCATAAGTTTTGAGAATTAAACTAGAAGTGTTACAAAATAGATACGGGTATTGGGTCACAACCTGATCCAAGCTCAATCTCAAACACATGCACAAATTAAGCTCAGCACAGCTCAGCCCAAAGCTCAAGACTAGGTCCAAGTCCAAGTCTAAGTCTAGACCAAACCCAACACATGCACAAGTACAAGTCTAGGCCCAGTCCAAACCAAGACTAAGTCCAAATCTAAACTCAACTTTATTGATGCCCGTTTTATGACATAATTCTCATTCACAACTCAATAGTTTCAACTCATTATTTTTGTATTGCAATCTTCTCACTTAAGAGAATACAAAACCACTTAGACCCACCTCCCACTTAGACGCACCTCAACTGGCGATTAGATCCCACTTTAATTTTAAATTAAAGTTGCTGAAAAACTATTATTTTTCAACAAGTGATGGTGGAGAGATCTTTGATAATCCTATAATTCTATTATGATCAATGTTAGAATGATTAGTTTTTTTTTTTTTTTTTAATAGTAATTCCATTCATATCTTTTAAGGTTTAGAAAAAATACAATTAATTTCACACGTTGACATAATTATACCAAACTCTCTTGAAGATAATTGTTACGACCCAAGCCCGCCCCTATAGGCTTAATATCATGACCGGCCAGTAATCCGAAGATTACCGCAGGCCTCTTAAACAAATACATAATATTAGGGCCTAGCAGAAGCAAAATAAAAATATTCTTCGTCCATTGAGCTGTACAGACTTATATGAGACAGACAATATTTAAAATTTTTCTTTTTTATATACATCTATTATCGCATCAATCATGCATCAGCACATATATAAAGAAGACAAAAGGGACTTAGCCCTATATACAGAATAACCAAAAACTTAAACTTTAATCACATAGCCTTGGCATTTGACATATTCGGAACCTTCACAGGAAGCAAATAGGTTGGTTGACAAAACAGAGTCCAGGCAGAAGCTCTAGGCTTGGTCACGCCCCTGATCACCTACATGCATATATAACACAATGAGCTAAAACCTAGTGAATAATAACAGTGTAAAGAGGTTATGAATGATATCCTTACTGCAATCCAAATCGGCCAATTTTAGTAATAAACAGAAGATTAGAATCATATGTTTAGCAAATCCATATTTCATACGGAAAGCATAGTAGTTATACGTGGTACATCCAATAGCAAAACAATACAGGCAGTCATGAAGACCGAACAATCATATATGATGGCCATCAATACAGTAAACAAGAGTTCCAAGGAGTGGAACTGACAGAGATCTCTGTAACAATGGTAGTAAACAAGTGCTAAAGATGCCATGAATACAGTTCAAGAAAATAGGATCATAATTCATTAAGTAGAAGAACCATTTCAGAATAGAGAATAGTGTAATGTAGAAAATAAATACTTTTACTTAAACATATATTTACAATAGTATTACTCACAGATAACTCCAGAGACAGAGTAGACGGACCATAACGCGTGAACTACACAAACAAATAACAAATACACACTGAAACACAATATCACTTCCTTGATCAAACTTAACTTTTATTGTCTTTTTGCTATTTAAGTAATCTGAAGTTCTACTATACTTATTCTTCTTTATTCAAATGAATCGGATTCTCATTTTACATATTCTTTTATTACCAAATCCTTTTTTTCCAGACAGACTGATTTCTTACTTGGCTTCTTAATCAATTACTACTAAATCAATGATTTCAAACTTTTTCTTATAAAACATAAAATTAAAGCTATAAAGCTTTGAGGAGCATCATTGCATGTACGAAATTTAATTCACAATCAAACCAATTTTTGATTCTCAAATTCTAAATTTAGCCAAATTTAGCTTTAATTCATTTTCTTCATATCAAATCCAATTTTAAACCCACAAATTCTAACACATGAATTAAACTTTCAAAATATCATTCCAAAACTTAGGTATAAACACGGTTTGTCTAAAAATATACAAACTTTTAAATAATTAAGAAAACTTGATCATTTTTAAACCATTTACCTATAAAACTCTTCTTCAAAATCAATTATATATTCCATTGTATGGATCAAGTTTTCAAACAATTTTTGTTGGATGTAATTTATAGAGCTTAAGTCAAGACTAATTCTCAAAATTGAATCCAAACTTAACAAATCTAAAGAATCATAATTCATATTCTTCAACCTAACTTAATTTAACATTCAAAATCCAAAAATCATTAATTGATAGAATTAATCTCCAAATTCCTTCATCCTTTCATTATTTCTTTCCAATTACTTGAAATTGAAACCAATTATTTCTTAATTTCAGCTCTTAGCTAAATTATTTATAAAATCTAAGCTCAATGTCTTACTCAAAATCCAATTTCTTACAAAATCCATAAGATTAATTCCATAGCTTTCTTACTTTCAAGTTCAATTCCTCAATTCATCCAAATTATATACAATTGAACCTAATTTCTTTCTAATTCCATAACTATAATCTCAAATCCTTCTCAATCTTAAGTATTATAAAAAGATTCTATAAAAGCAAACCAAACATAATTAATTTCTAAATTAATCCCCAAAACCATGATTCTAGCTCAATTTCTTTCATTTTCTCCTTAATTCCTTCCAATTGCAAGATATTGATTCTAAATACATCTTTAATTTCAAGTGTAGTATAAAGATTTTTCAAAAATCAAGCATGATTTCATACCTTTAACTTTAATGTCTAGAAGTTTAGTTGATTCCCTTCAATTCCATACCTTTCCTAACCTTTTCTTCCATATTTTTTCTTCTTCTTGGACTCTTGAGTTAGATTTCTAGCACAAATCTCTCTCTCTCTCTCTCTCTCTCTGGGTGCTCTCACTTTTTCTTCTCCCTTCTTTGAGCTCACAATGCTTCCAACATACACACATGAACCCTTATATTGGTATGTATATAGGAAAATGCTAGAGACCCTAATAATCTATCAAATGTTTTACCAAATCTCTCATATGGGTGTGAGACTCACACAAACCCACATGTGTGTGAGTCTCACATCCATGTGAGAGATTTGATAAAACATTTGGTAGATTATTTGGAGTCTCTAATATTACTCATGTATATATATATTTATGTCTATTTATTGCCTTAAAGCTTCTAGAATACACCAACACTCAGACTTTTCTACATACCCACACCCATATACACCCTTCAATTAGATTCCTTCCTAATTTAATTTATGTTTGGGATTAATTTAATTAAGCAATATTTAGGCTTACTAAATCTTGATTAACATATAATTAAAATAATCATAACTAATCACAAATCTCACATAATTTAATTAGTTTATTTGACTTCATTTAAAGTCCGATTAATTATATTTAAATTTATCAGTCTGAATCAGATTTTTAATCAAACTCTCAATCAAACTTATTTCCATCTTCAATTTTAGTTTCTCACATCATCAAGGCCTTCCATTTTAGATCAAACTCAAAATCTTCGTCAATAAATTACATATTCAATTAAATACCTCATAAATAAGTTGTATTTATAATAATCTTAATTCCCAATTTTCAATTCTCATAACTTAATTAACTCTAATTCAGACCCACTTAATGAAATATTAATTTTACTAAATTGTATTGAATATTTAATTAAACTCTCATAGGGCTCGATACTCGAAATTAAAATAATTCAAGTCACCAATTATACCTTCTTGAGCTATTTAGGATTTCAATTTCTAATTCCAAAATAAATCCTCAATAGAACCATATACGAATTATAATAATAGGCAATTAAAATTTAAATCTCCTTAATTAATTATGTGCTAATTATTATACGTGATGGGATCATCACTATAATTATAAAAAAATTATATTTTAATAATTAAACTCAATAAAAGTGTACAAAAAATATTTAAAATATCTGTTTTCATTGAATTTAATGACTAAACACACTTTTTTTTTTTTGGAGATAATTTTATCTATAAAAAAATAAGTGAATTATTTAAATTTAAAATAATAAAAAGATTAATATTTAAATTGATAAAATTAAAATTTTAAAATTTATTTTATTGTGACCTTTTTTTTATAATAATTTTTCCAAAATTATTACATTTTGACAATTTTATCTTTATATGGACAATCATGATTCATGGGCCGTCTTGGGCCCGATTGTTTATTGTCGAGTCTGATCTACTCGGTTGGGTCAGGGGCGAGTCGGGTTTCAAACAGCCCAGGGTGAAACTGTCATATTCCGAAGCTCTAGGGGTCAAAAATAAAAATAAACCTAACCACAAGGGCTAAAAAATAATTTATCCTTTCAAACCAGTTGGAACACTGTTCAGAGACACGACAACGAAGAAGAAGAAGAAAGAACAAAGAAGAAAACCATCTTTTGAATAAGAGAAAAATTGTGCAAATCCCAATAAGCTTTTCTCAAGAAAATTCAAAATTTTCTCCAGGAAGAAAGAACAAAGAAGAAAACCATCTTTTGAATAAGAGAAAAATTGCACAAATCCCAATAAACTTTTCTCGAGAAAATTTTAATTTTCTCGAGAAAATCCCAACGTTATGATATCTTGAATTTGTTTCAATTGCGATGAAACCGAGTAATTGGAGATTAGGGATTGTGTTGATTCTATTTACTTTGTCTCAGCATACGATCCATGCTCTTCAGTCCTCCGCTGAGGCCTACGTGACTCTTCTCTACGGTGATGAGTTTCTACTCGGTGTTCGTGTTCTCGGGAAGTCGATTCGGGACACCAGATCTACTAAGGACATGGTTGCTCTCGTCTCCGATGGCGTCTCTGACTACGCCAAGAACCTCCTACAGGTGTTAATTTTACTCTCTTCCTGTTTGGTTGCTAAGAAAATCTAATTTAAGGATAGAAAATCATAAGAATTAATGTTTATTTGGTTGACGTACCGTTTAAGCTCCTAATTTGTCAATTCTACTTATTGCTTGTTTGGTTAATAAGAAAATTCTGGAAAAATTCAAGTCTTTTTTCCTTTCATAAGGTTTCCCAAATCAGTTTTTGGCAGATTTTGGTTTATAGTAAATCATAAGACTTAATGTTTATTTGGTTGCTTGTTTGGTTACTCAGAGAATTTCGGAGAACTTTTAATCTTATTTTCTTTCATAGGTTCCCAATCAGTTTGAGGCAAGATTTGTTTTTGGGGCAATATGTATGAGAGTTAAATTCTGATGTGTTTGTATGTTGTCTTACTTGCCAAAGTGTCAATTCTACTTCATGTTTGTTTGGTTAATAAGAAAATTCAGGAAAAATTCGAGTCTTATAAGGTTTTGGGTTTGTGGGAAGTTTGGCAGGTTTTGGATTTGTGGGAAGAAGTTTTAAATTCTTTAGTATTGTTATGTTTCTTTACTTGCCTAACAGAGAGATAGTTAGGAACATGGAATTGTTTATGTTAGAGCTTATGAGGACTTCAGATAATTAGTTACCAGTTTTTCTCACCTGTTTTGTTGCCAAGAAAGTTAAGGACAAGGAAAGAGGTTTGGATTTAAGTTAAAAAGAGCTCACTGGATTCAGAACTGAGTTAAGGTCTATCCTTTTTGGAAACATTACTGAATTTGTAGTTGAAACTTTTGTTATTTTCCTCTGCTTTCCACATAATGAAATTAATGTGTAGTTTCTTTATGTTTGGTTGACATTTTGGAAGCCATAATCTTGCTTTTGAAAGCAAGAAGCAAAGTGTGGTTTAGTCTCAATAGGATTATGAGAACTCTTAAATGTTTTCTAACTGCTCTGTTAATGTCTTGAGTTTTTTGGTTTTTGCGAAAAGTTTCCTCAATTTTAGCTTAGTTAGTTTTCTCTCCCTTTCTCTTTAGCATTGATGCGTTTTGGTGATTTTGTATTTGCAGGCTGATGGTTGGATTGTGAAGCTAATTAGTTTATTGGCAAATCCTAATCAAGTGCGACCAACAAGATTTTGGGGAGTCTACACAAAGCTAAAAATATTCAACATGACTGACTACAAGAAAGGTAATGTACTTTTATTTTTTTAATTGCAAAGAAAATGGAGGACTGTCTAGAAGAAAAACTAAAACCCCGAATAAAAAATTTCCTATTCTTTTGGTTTCCATCTAAATGAAAATAAATTACTTGAATCAACGAAGCAGACTAGTTGCATTAAGGAACTTGATTTGATCTGTTTTTGGTATTACATGAGTTATACCGTTCTCTGTGGGAGAGCTTCTATCTTGTTGGGATTATTGATTCTTCTCCGCCTGAAGTAGGATCTGCAGTCCTTTGCCACTCCAGTAGTAGGCAAGTCCCCTTTGCCTTTTCCAGTGCTATCCACCCTATTGAATCCAAATCCAAGTTTTTTCCTACGGGTGCTTTTAGCATCACCAATAGATCTTTCCATGACTAGAGACCTTGTCTCTTTGGGTCTTTTTAACCACCAATTGCTGACTAGTTTTGGGTGGTGTTGGTGCCTATGACCCAATTATTATATGTATGCCCAGTCACATTAAGGTGATCGCACACAACTGGCTTTTACTCAAATTGAATTTTGGTTTATGAAGCTTTCCTTTGAAACTGAGGACAGAGCAACCACAGGTCGATCTGCTTGAATCTCCACACACAGTGACATCGGATAATCTCCCTATGGTGGCTGTAAGTTTATCAGTTGGAAGTGGTTTTCCAACCTTGCTATAATTTTTTCTCAACATGTGAGCAGAAAAATAACACTGTTTCCAAATGAACATGACCTAGTTAAATATCTTGTTGTCTAAGATGAGCATCGGCAAAATCAAATATACAATCCCCCTCACTTAGGGGAATTTTTATGTATGTAAATTATATATATAAATATGTTGTAAGAATTTTTTGTATTCTGGTTGTAATATACGTGTTAAATGTCTACAATATATTACCACTTAAACTGTTAAGCATAGTAATTTTTTAGCATATGTTCTTGTCCCTATTTTGATTTTGATTTTGATTTTGATTTTTTTTTGGGTACATTTGTCCCTATTTTGATTTGTTCTTCATATTTTGCTCTTATTTTCTTCTGATGTAGATTGCTATTTTCATCATTTTTTTTTTTATTTCACATACTATGGCTTGGTTTGGGCAGTGGGTTGGCTTTTTAGCTCTTTAGCTTTTTGGGCTATTTTAGCCTGGGGCTAAAAAGCTTGGTTTATGAAGGGATTTTGGCTTTTTTGTGAGAGATAGAATGTAATGATTATGCGTTGGATGTGATATTTTGTCTTATTGGGCTAAAAAGCCTATTTTATTTTTTGTGGCTAAAATAGCCCCAAACCCACCCAAACACACCTCCCAAACAGAGGCTATATATTTGTTCTTTATAGATTTTCTTTTGTCTTGGTGGCCTTCTTTTGTTTCTTTGGGATTCATATGTTTGAGAGGTCCCATCCTATTTGGAACTGCAATTCTATCTCGATGGGAACATGATTCTAACTCGATTCTTGTTTAAAACCGTGGAATCGAAGTTCTAGAGTGAAAACGTCACCTCTAGTAGGTGATTTCTGCAACTAGGCCCCAACATTTACCATATTACTTTCACCTAGTCTCAACTCTCGACAAGTCTTTTCATCAACATGTATGTTGGCTTCACACCAACGACATATCCAGCAGTTACATTCTCCCAAGCTCCGCTTGGACGTCTACAAGTGAATTAAGTGCCTAAGACCCTGGACTATTTCAGGAGAGAATCATGGTCTTCAAGTGGATTGAGCCCATTTGTGTCACTTGGTGACCATCCAAAGCATTTCCAGTCACTGGTTGATCAGGCAGAGCTCCGCTTATGATGATGGATGGATGAGATTGCTTTCTTGTGCAATAAATTTGAAATGGTTGCTGAACGCATAGCCATCTTCATCTAGCTCCTTAATAATATGTCCTTGTTCTGTGATATCCTTCTCAAATTCTTCTGCCTCCTTTGCCTCTAACCAGGAATCTACCCCCTCCGAGGAGTATGAGCTTCTACTTTGCTTCCGCTTAAGAATGATGAAGGAGCAAGTGATCTTGGTCTCCGAAGTTGCTAATGTCATCATGACTGGGAAATGGAAAAAAAATAGTTGATTCAGAACAACCAGCGAGCCCTTCTTTCTCCTTAGAGCAAAGCAGAGCTTACTTATATTTTCCGAGCAAAAATAATTTTTATTGTTTTTCTTTTTAAGTAGCAAGTGATGGAGCTTACTAATTTGTATCCTATGGTTAGCCCAATGGTATTGATGCTTTATTCTCTCTCTTTTCTTTGGTTGTTGCAGTGGTGTATCTTGATGCTGATACAATAGTTGTGAAGAGTATTGAAGATTTGTTTAAATGCGGGAAGTTCTGTGCTAATTTAAAGCACTCAGAAAGGCTTAATTCAGGAGTTATGGTAGTGGAACCGTCTCAAGCGGTTTTTAATGATATGATGAGCCAAGTAAAAACTTTGCGTTCTTATACTGGAGGTACAGGCTTTGCTTCATGCATTATTTGTTGTCTGCTACATTTTATATGTTGTTTATTGTTTATTAATTGCAAAAGTTTTATATTCTATTCTTAGTAAGAGTATTGTCTCTGTATGTTTGCAAGGTCAAGCAGATTAGGCTAGTCCTACTGTCAAATAATTAGCATCCATCATTGCAACAAAGTTCAGAAATTACTTTTTTAACCGTGGAACTATGAAATGTGGGCTTTTTTTTTTTTTTTTGGGTGGTGAATTCAAGAGTTAAATTAAAAGCTAACATCCTATTTACCTCACAGGAGATCAGGGGTTTCTGAACTCCTACTATGCAGGGTTCCCCAATGCACACGTTTTTGAGCCAGATTTGCCACAGCATGTGTTAAATTCTCGAACAGTTCCCGACATGGAGAGACTCTCAACTCTATATAATGCAGATGTTGGCCTTTACATGCTTGCAAATAAGGTACTGGTTTCTGAACTTCAAACAATGTTTCTATTTATACTTGATTTCCATTGCTGGACTAGTGTATTTATTTCTTCATTAGAGTTGAATCCATCCATTTGTTTGTTTTTATTTAGCATCCTCCCTAACGCACATTAATATGTACTATTTGGGTGTTGTTTTTTTATCTGTTGACTTCGTATTTGTTTGCACTTGAGGATAACAGTTTAAGTGTAGGTCGATATATCAATCTACATCTGTACATTCTCTCTAATTACATCTATAGCTGCCTTGATATTGGACAATGTTGCTGAGAATTTTGGCTGAAAATTTTGTAATTGTAGATCTGGATGCTGCCAGCAACTGCTGGCCATTTTTTGTTGCAGCCATCTCCTTAACATGATACAAATAACGGTTGAGTTCAAGTGCTGGACCTACCTTCTGTTCCTTCATCGCACTTACTGATTCTATCACAATCCAACTATGATGGTGGCTGAGATATCTGTGATAGTGGATGCCTTCTGTTTCCTGTTTTATCACAATAGCATTTATGAACTTTCTTATTTTTTGTGATGATCTCATACAGATTTACTTTACCAATTAAAGAAGAATTTGTCTTGGTTGATTAACTATATTTGGTTACTCTTTTTTTTTGTTCCCCCCATCCAACTGCTGGCCATTTTCTATTCATGTTTGAATAATATCTAAATTATGAAAATTTAAAAATATGACTGCCATAACTTTTATAATACTATAATTTATGTGTTCACTGTTAGATGGATGACACAGTGGCTTAAAAATAAGACTGAGTGTGACTTTATTGCATCGAATTTGTTAATTAAACTTTCTAATGTTTTTATCAATTGACATGCAGTGGATGGTGGATGAGGATTTACTTCGTGTTATTCACTATACACTTGGTCCCCTTAAACCATGGGATTGGTGGACATCTTGGCTGTTAAAACCTGTTGATGTCTGGCAGGTACTTTTCATTGTTACTCGTAACTGTGATTCGTTTTCTTTTCTTTGCCCACACTATAAATTTCCATATTTTCATCTAGTTTTTCTGCATCGGATCCTTCATGTTTGGCATTTTCTATTCCATATATGGAGAATGGTGCAAGTTGGTTCATGCAGTTGAAGAGCTTCATGTAACAAATCCACCCCATACTTATCTGAATTTTTTGTTTGTTACTACTGCAGAATGTTAGGGAACAGCTTCAAGAATCTCTTCCTGGAACTGGTGGGGGCAGAAATCCTAATGATGAACTTCTTGTCAAACTTCTTTTTCTGCTACCATTATTTGCTTTACTTTTCTGTTATTATCGGTATTTTCTTCAGGTCAGCAGTTTTCTTATAATCTCTCGTTCCTTTTTTTTTTTTTTTTTTTTTTATTTTTTTTTTTTATTTTTATGACACTTGGGCATATATGAGATATATAATTGTTTTTTGGAGCTGAAAGCAGTTGATTTTGGTGCAGACACGTTCATTTTGCGATCATATTAGGCACCTTTCCTACATATTCAGATCTAGGGGTGCTCTTGCTTATTCAGCTGTTTCTTCTACGGCTAATTCCAATCAACAGGTTAATTTTCTCTTCTAACTTCTAGGAAATAGTGCGTGCATGATCATTTGGATTTTTTTTCTCTTTATATATTAATGTTTAATATATATACACTTCTCATTCCAAGTGCTGTGACGATGGCCAATGCCCATATGCCTTTGCTGTCTCACAGAGTTGGTATTAGTCTTGATGCTTTCGACATGTGCAAATGGGAGTTCAACCTTTCCTAGCTTACTGTCTAAGACTCTAAATTTAAAATTATATATACATATTTCTTCTTTTTGGTGTTGGTTAAAACACTTTGTTGTGGTCATTAACAGTTCTGAAATGGAGTGCAGTATTACTTTGAATTATATGTACATATATGTTCTTTTGATGTTTGTTGAAACTATTTGTTGTGATCGTAAACAGTTCTCAAATGGAGCACAGTCAAAGGTGCCTGCGTTTTTGGGTGGACTTTCTGTTTCCGTCTGTTTAGTGGCTGCTCTGGTGTCCCTTGCACTTGCACTTATGATTGTCCCTCGGCAAGTAATGCCATGGACTGGTTTGCTCTTGATGTATGAGTGGACATTCACAATCTTCTTCTTGTTGTTTGGAAGTTATCTATATTTGATTTATCAGTGGGGAAAAATGAAGGCAAATCAAGTGGGTTCCTTTTCTTCTCGTCCTGGATCTATTGATTGTGATTCTGGAAAAGGTTGGTTGAGTTTACGCATAACCAAGTTTTATGTAAGTTTTGTCATTCTTGATTGATGCCAATCAATTCAACTTTTTTTTGGGGTCGTGTTGTAGGCCATCAGCTGCAGGTATCTTCTTATGATGTTGCTATATGTTATTATGGGTTAGGAATGGCATTCCTGGCTATTGCTGCCCCTTCATTGCCTTGTTTTCTCGGGATCACTGCTCTGTTCCCCAGGTACTTTGCAGGAAAAGTTCTGTAGTGATATCACTGCCATGCATTAGGTGGTCATTGATTTAAAAGCATGAAATTTTTTACAGGGTGCAATTCCATAATTAATTATTTGATTCTTGCTTGTGTTTGTGGCCTCATTTCCTGTCAAACAATGGATTGCATTGATTTTTGATGCACTGTATTGGTGCAAATCATGAAACTTCATATTTTCTCTTATACGTTGTGTTCAAATCTTTATAACATTGTTCATCACACGTTGTTAATAATCTGCATTAAAATGTCTGGGCAATTATAGTTACTAGAAAATTATAATTCTCTAGCTATCTTCTTTTTTGAACATAAATAGCAAAATATGGAATACTTCTGTTAAGTTACTGAATTTCGAATCCGCACAGGTAGCTCAGTGTTGAAGGGGCTTACCTTGGGATGAACTGTAAACCAGGATATCCAAGGTTCGAGTCTTCCTAGTGTTGCTCCCGGCGTTAAATGATATATGTGGTTGCGCGTATCAGGAATTTACTCTGTAGGAATGGGTCCAATGTGGCCCTATCTTGGGGAGGAAAAACTATTGAATGTAACGGTGATACCATCTTATGTGGTGTATCATCGGCCAATAAAAAGTTGCGAATGCCTTAAGTGATCAACCCTTGTCTCCCACTAACCCAACAATATTGTGGTCTCTGCCGCAAATCAACAATGCTTATTAGATGGTGATACTGCCACATGTTATCACCCTTGCATCCAATATTTACTCCTTGGGGAGGTCTCTTCTCAACAAAAACAAAAAAAAAACCTAAATTAAATTTGGAAAATCCAAATAATTCCTCATATCTTTCCATAGTTCCCTCTTGTAAGAAGAAACATAATGAACTTTAGTAGAATAGATAGTTTTCAGAATAATAAAGGATAGTCATACATGAAGAGCTCAATATGTGTAAGATACAAGAAGTTCAAGGCTATGCGTGATTCATCCGAATATCACATATTTCAATAATAAATGAACTTGTGAACTATAATATGTATAACATTTAAATGGCAAGAACTGGGATAGATATTTACTGGATCCATGGAAGAATTAATGTTATCCAAACTCATTTGACAGGGCATTTAAAAGTCCAATTTTCAGGTGAGTACCAACATATTTAAAAGTCCGTTTCTTGAAATTGCTAAGTTCAGCTTGAGTGGACTGAGAATATTCAGATCGAGTTAGCTGAGTGCTTAGGTTGGAATTGGTGAAGTTTGTTAAGAAGTTGCTTTATCATCGCAAAGAAATTAATTGTGTTGGGTGAGTGACAATGATGAACAATGGTCATGTTCTGCATCTGGGCTGTTTATATGTATAGACAGTGTGTGATCTGCATATTAATTATTTCTTCTATGTACACTATCCTTCATGTTCCCTTCCTCTTTGGGTGTGGATGTTGGGAATGAGGAAGGTTGAATTTTGTGATGCATTGAAATTCAATATACTATAATTCAGGTTCTTCCTGTCAAGTATTCCTCCCCCCCAAAAAAACCACCCACCCACCATCCAAAAATGATTACGAAGAAAAACTGCTCTTATGGGTCACTAACTCCACTTTGTACTTGTGATGTTGTTTGATACCACCAAAAGTTTGGAAAACTTTCATCATAAATTATTAGTGTCTGAAAAGTTTTTACTGAATTAGTAGCATTAAGAGTGCCAGACCAAGGGTTATTATAGTTTAAGTTAACACTAATTGTATTTATCAAAAAAAAAAAGAGACACTAATTGTGGATTGTTAAATGCACCTAATTAAGTTTTTAACTTTCAGCATCTAATCTTGTTTCATTGAAGGCAAGTTTGTATTTACTCTCAAGAACTGCAGTGCCTTCTGTTTCTATTTTCCGGAGGCTCAATTATGCTATATGTAGTTAATATTTACACGGTGACCCTTGAATTAAGATGCAATTCCAAAATCCCTGTTTTGCTATTTTTACATAGTGACCGTTGAATTAAGATGCAATTCCAAAATCCCTATTTTGCTATTTTTGTTTGTGATCAAGTCAATAATTGTGTTTTTTTCCTTTGTTATCTATGCGTGCAGGTTAGGTTTAATGTTTGTGGGAGGCCTAGTTTTGGCGTCTTTCATGACGTATGCTTCAGAACACCTAGGGATTGGATCATTTTTGAGAGGTTTTGAAGAAAAGGACACACCACGGACAAGGAGCATATGTTTCTTATGCTGATTGGAGGCTTGAATCTAATGATGTAAGTTATAGACAGTAGCTATCTTTTTCTTCCAGTTTTTATTTTAAATCTGTGATTTGTTTGGCATATATTTCTCCCTAATTGAGTTGTAATATAGTGGTGCCCCGCGTGCAGCCGGGGGGGAGGGGGGGAATATTAGGGGGTGTTTGAATTTTGTTAGTTTAGAAATTTCATTTTTTTATCTTTTGGTGTTGCTTCCTCTCTTGTTGAAAGCCCTGGGAATCCTACGTTGATAACATTGGACATGGTACAGTGCTTTTAACCTCCTCTCGTCGAACAACATTAGTTCCTTGGACCTGCTCTACTGCTAATCCGCTTCTGCTATCTGGCACTCAGCCATAACTCGCAACGACAGAATCTTAACTTCAATCGGCAGAACAATTTCCATCCCATAAACCAGAGAATTCGGAGTTGCCTCAGTAGATGTTCGAATTGAAGTCTTGTAGCCCCGGAGAGCAAATGGCAACTTGTCTGGCCAGTCTCTGTAGGTTTCCACCATCTTCTGTTGAATGTACTTGTTGTTCTTGTTGGCGGCTTCAACAGCTCCGTTGGTTTGCAGCCGATATGTAGATGACTTGTGAAAAGGCACGTTGTATTTCTCCAAGTCGACCACTTCTCTTTTGAAGTGGGAACCATTATCTGAAATGATCTCATTCGGGACCCTATAATGACAGATGATATTATTCCTGATGAACTTGGCTACGTGCGATGCTTTTAGTACTGCATAGGATTAGGTTTAGATCCACTTTGTAAAATAGTCTATTGCCACTAACATATACTCATGCCCATTTGACCCCTTCGGAGTAACTGCCCCAATAACATCAATTCCCCAGACTGAAAACGGCCGTGGTGAAGTCATGTTGTACAGTTTCGACGACGGGATATTCATGCGATTTGCATGAATTTGGCATTTGTGGCATCGCCGAACAAAACCAATACAATCTTCCTCCATGGTTGACTAGTAGTAACTCTGCCTGAGAATCTTTCGAGCTAGCATTACCCCGTTCATGTGTGAACCACATTCTCCTACATAAATGGCTTTCATTAGCCGCTTTGATTCTTTTTCATCGACGCACAGTTTGTACATTCCTAGATGGCCTCGTTTGTACAATTTACCCCCGTAGATGATGAACTGAGTAGTCATTCGTCGTATTGCCCTTTTATCTTTGGCATTTGCCCCTAGTGGATAAGCCTCATTTTTCAAGAAGTTCCAAATGTCATGATACCATGGGTTCTGATCTTGCACTTCATCTATTGCGGCGATCAGCTCGTAGACCGGCACATACCTCTGTTCAATAATTGATCGGGCGCATCCGGACTCCCAAAGGGATATCTATTATAGAAGATAGAGTTGATAAAGCGTTAGCGAACCCGTTGTTCTTTCTTAACAGGTGCGTGAAGGTTAGCTTCTCAAACCTGAGAATCTGAACATCCAGGGTTTGGTGATAGATTTTCATCCTTTCTTCCTTAATCTTCCAGTCTCCTTTTGCTTGAGACACAACCAGGTTCGAGTCCCGAATGACGTCCAACCATTTTGCCTCTAGTTCCAAGGCGGCTTCCAAGCCAGTGATACATGTCTCGTATTCTGCTTTCGTTGTTAGATATCTTGTACTGGAGTTTGAAAGCTAAAGGTATGTGGGAATTGTCAGGTGCTATCAGCAACACCCTTATCCCATAACCGTACTGGTTAGACGCTCCGTCAAAGTACATAGTCCAAATCTCTTCCTCGACCTGCAGAATGGCCTCATCTGGGAACAAATACTCTACTGCTTTGTCTCACTCGACTGGGTGATCTGCTAGGAACTTCGCTACCGCTCTCCCCTTCACAGACTTGCGAGTCATATACTTCAAATCAAATTCGGAGAAAAGAAGCAATCAACGGGCTAGCCTACCCCTAAGCGCTAGTTTCTCAAAGAGATATTTGATGGGATCGAATCTCAAAACCAGAATTACGGAGTGAGCTAACAGGTAGTGCCTCAACTTCTTGGTAGCCCATACCAAGGTCAAGCAAGCCTTCTCCAACAGGATGTAACGGGTCTCATATTCTAGCATCTTTTTGCTCAGGTAATAGATGGCTTTCTCCACTCTATCCTTAAATTCTTGCGCAAACATGTAGCCCATTGTCGTGTCGGTTACTGACAGATACAAAATCAACGGCTTCCCCGACTCCGGCAGTGACAACACGGGTGGGTTCTATAGATACTGCTTGATCTGCTCAAAAGCAACATGGCATCGGTCATCCCATTGGAATTTCCTTCCTTTCTTCAGGAGACCAAATAGTGGTTCACAAGTCAAGGTTAATTTTGTAATAAACCGTCTTATGAATTGCACTTTTTCTAGAAAGCCTCGCACCTCCTTTTCAATCTTTGGTGGTGGCATTTCTAGGATGGCCTTGATTTTGGAAGGATCGACCTCAATGTCCCTCAGTGTAATCAAGAACCCCAGCATCTTCCATGCTGTGACACCAAAAGTACATTTTTGTGGGTTCAGCCTCAACTGATATTCTCTGATCTGTTGGAAAAATTTCTTCAATGCGGTGTAGTGGCCCTCTCTTTCCTTGGACTTGATAATCATGTCGTCCACATACACCTCAACCTCTTTGTGGATCATATCATGCAAGATCATGGTTGCAGCCTATTGATAAGTAGCCCCAGCATTTTTCAAACCGAACGACATCACCCTATAGCAATAAGTTCCCCACGGCGTGGTGAAGGCGGTCTTCTCCCTATCCTTAGGTGCCATCAAGATCTGGTTGTACCCGGAAAATCCATCCATAAAGGAGAGCAAAGCATGGCTTGCGGTGAAGTCCATTAATTCGTCAATGTGCGGTAGAGGAAAGTTGTCCTTTGGACTAGCTTTGTTCAGATCTCTGAAATCCACACATACCCGAATTCTACCATCTTTCTTCGGCACCGGAACAATGTTGGCCAACCAAGTAGGATACTCAGATACTAGCAAGAACCCTGCATCTATCTGTTTGGTGACCTCTTCCTTGATCTTCAAAGCCCAATCCGGGCGTATTCTCCGAAGCTTCTGCTTGACGGGTCAGGCCTTAGGATCAAGAGGGATCCGGTGCTGTACAATCTCAGGATCGATTCCAGGCATGTCTTTGTAGGACCACGCGAAAACATTTTTGAAATCTTTTAATAAAGCGACTAAGTGCTCGCGTTCCTCTGAAGACAACGTGGACCCGATCTGGACCAGACGCGGATCCTTCTCAGTACCCACATTAATTGAAATGATTTCATCAACCAAGGGTTGTTCAAACCTCTCATCCTCTCGATCAATCAAATGTTTCAAAACTAAAGGAATTCCTTTCTCATCGTTTTTATCAAAATTGTGAAAGTCATGATCAATGCAATATACAAGTGGCACAATAAAGTATTCAGAAACAGCAGTGGTACCATTCTTATTCAAAGTTTCCAGTTCGTCCAATTCCTCGGTTACAACCGACTCAAAAGAAAAGGAAAAAGACGACCTGGACAAAACAACGGCATCCGGGTTATCAACCCCAGAAATACCAGACTCCAACTCAGAAGAACTGGAATCTGATTCCGACTCCACGAACTCTATGGAATCAGATCCCCGTTCACTACTTGATTCAGAACTGCTGGACAAAAAGCCCTTCTGGAACTGCCAAACGAGGGAAAGTGCGATAGATGCATCCAGAATACCACCGGAAGGGTCCACAATCGATTGATCTCCGATCATGGAAATGGTGAAGTCATCCCCTAAGCTCTCCGGTTTGATCTGAGGATCCAAAAGGGGACAAGCCAGCGCTGCTCATATCTCAAGTTCACTGCCATTGGACTCATCCTCTATACTTTGTTCAGCCTCAGTTGGTAGGTCAGTCTATTCTTCTGCAACTTCATCTCCTTGCAACTGGAGGTCGAAGAAGATCTCAAAGCCAAGCAAACGCCGCTTCTCAGAGTTCAACCATGGCTCAGGAAAGCTGCAAAATGGAAAATCTTCCCCCTCCCGGACAAAGCGGCTGTTCAGGGTTCCTTGAATGGGTCTATGCACCATCTTATAGTGCTTCCCACTTTGCTTAGCTTTGGCTCTTCCTGCCATTTCCTTCCCTTTTCTTACCCAGTCTTCTTTGGTAGGCGTATAACCTAGACCAAAGGTATGAGGGTTATGTGACACTTTGGCCAATGCAGCAACGCCATTCCGGTCGCTCCTTCCCAATTCCATTCCGGGTACATGCTGTAACTTATTCATGAGGTAGACTGATTGAGCACTGATGTACGACTCCTCATCAATAGCTAGGATATCTTGCACCACCCGGGCCTCAGCCAAGGTAAACCCAGACATGAAAACATCTTCATCACCCTGTACAATTTCCAGTACCGGTGTAGTGACTTTCGGCGGAGGATGTATAGAAGAATTTCCAAAAGCAATGGCTACCTCCTTCCCATGGGGATACTTCAACATCTGATGCAGAGTGGAAGAGACAGCTTTTACTTAGTGCAGCTACGGTCATCCAGGGAGTAAGTTAAAAGTGGTTGGAACATCTAGGATGTGAAACTCAACATCCAGTTGTACCAGGCCGACCTGCGTTCTAACCAGAACTGTCCTCATCACTTCCCGACTTGTATTGTCATAAGCTTGAATCATCTGGGCCGTTGGTACAAAGTATGCTGGCTTCAAGCCAATAGTATAGGCTGTGCGCGACGGGCACACACTAATTGCAGACCCGATATCAACCAAGACGATTGGTACCCACTTCTCTTTACATTCAACAGAGTTATGCTCAGAGCCCTCAGGCGGCAATTCTTTATCTGTAAAGGTCAAAGTTGGCGAAGCCCTTCCCAGGAAGACCAGTCCCATTAACTGCTCGGGGGTTGTGTCGATAGAGAGCTTAGCCTTATCCATTGCTGATAGGACGGCTTGTCTGTGCACCCATGAAGCCATGAGCAAACCCCAGATGGATATGTCCGCCTGAATATTTTCCAGCTACTTCAGTACAGCTTCCTCCTCTAACAGTTTATCCTTCTGTTTCTCAGCTTCCTTATCTTTCCTAGATGCTTCTGGTTGGTCCAGGTATGGGGACTTAAAGTACCGCCCGTTCCTAGTAATGTGATCAACTTCCTCGGAATACCATGTATCATCTGGCAGATTTTGTCCCCAATCTTTATCTGTGTGGACAAGATGCAAATCATCATCTTCCCACCACATTCCCTCGGCAACTGACAAGCAACTGTCCGGTTCCGTTGTAAATATTCCTACATCCGCATCACAGTCAATCCCTGCAGGGCCTTTGGCTTTTCTAGCCTTCTGATCATTCTCAATTCTTTCATGCTCGAATCGCTTCAGCGCAGCCTCCTGTTTTGTATCGGCTGTACTAACGCTACTCAATTCCTGAGCAAAATTCTTAGTACCGGTGCTTTCTGACAAATTTCCCTTGTCGTCGACCATTCTGGCCGTTGCAGCAATCCCTGTTTCCAGCTGTTTCTGTTTTGGTTAAAACCCCTCATCAACATCCGGTTCATCACTGAGCCATCCCGTATTATTCGTTGATCCATTTATATCAAACCAGCCAATCTGTACACTCCCTAGATCTTGTTCATCGAAGAACTGCAGATTGCTGATGTCCTCCTCGAGCTCGGCTAAGTCATCCAGTCCCTGGCTTGGTCCGTCCTCCCGGGCTACATTAACCTCAATTCCCATCAGCAATTCCACCCCTGGTTTGGCCTGACTGGTTGGCAAAATGTAGCGACATGGGTTGTATTCCTCTTCAGTTAAGCTCACGGAGCCCTCAAGCATGCCTTCTGCAACCACAGCTACCACCACAGGTTCGAGTTAGGATATGGACGCGATCATCATGCACAAGTATGTGCTTTCTGGGATGAACAACGCCGACTTAAGTAGGTGGAAAGGGGTGATGTATGTATTGGGGTCGTACGGGACAGCCAGTGTTTGGATAAGGTTTATTTGCCTGGGTAAGGGGGGTTGGTTATGTGGTGGGAGAGGATTTATAGTGACGTTAGGCTTTTGATGAGGCGCTATCACTTTGTTGTCAATGAGATCCTGAATTTCATGACGTAATCTAAAGCATAGGTCGTTGTCGTGACCATGCTATTGGTGGAAAGCGTAGTACTTGGCCGGGTTGCGTGTAGGAGGGAGGGGATTAGGCAATGGGCACGGCTCTAGGGGCTTCAGATGCCTTTTTTTTATTAGGACCTTCAAGGCCGAAGATAGAGACATGTAGAGTGGGGTGAAAACCCTCTGGCCTCGGGGTTGGTGCTTTGCAGGTTGTGAGGTGGTTTCGGATGTACCAGAAAAGGGGGTAGCTGTTTTCGGTGTGGTGGTGACCATACCAACATCAGAGGTTCTTGCAGCTGCATTACTACTCGTAGCTGCATTGGAACTGCGTATAAAAGCCCTCTTGGGCTGCTCATTCTCATGGTCTATCAGACCCTGCTTCATTGCATCCTTTATCTGCATCCCTATTTCATGGAGGTCAGCAAATGTAGGTAGAGGTAAGACTATCATCTTCTGTAGCAACCTTGGTCGTAGATTATAGACGACCATTCTGATCTGGTCCTTTTCGGCTGGTCGGGTGGTCATCATGGAGGCCTTGGCCCTCTACCGAGTGACGAAATCGAAGAAGCCCTCCTTCAGCTCTTGGCGAGTTACTTCGAGATCACGAGTTGTGACCTCGATTTGAGTGTTATAGGAGTATTGAGCAATAAAGGCCTCAGCCTTTTCTTCCCAGTTCCTCTTTACAGAATCCTCAAGTTTAACATACCAAATGGCTGCGATACCCGACAAGGTTCGACCAAAGAGGGATAACTTCTACAGTCTAGTTAGGCCCATTGGCTGCAAACTGTCTGAAAATAGCCGCAAGTGGATCATGGGATCACCCGAGCCATCAAAGCGATCTATATGCGGCATTTTAAACATGTCTAGCAATGTCACCGCCGCATCAGTATAGCCATCCTCTATATCTGGGATCGAATTGACACCCTGAGCTCATTTGAAAAGCTTCTCAAGCTTGCTCACTTTCAGTGCGGTAGGATCAACCTCAAGCTCAAACGGTGCCTCCGTTGGGTAAACCGGTGCTTTGGAAGTCTGGAGCGGAATCGGATCCCCTGGGATGTTTGCATTTTCCTGGACATTGGCTGTGGGAGCAGGAGCTCTGGGTACTGGAATGTTTGCAGGAGGTGGATGAGATGCAGAAGCTATTCCCTATTGCGACTGTTGTTGCTATATAGCCTAGCAATCAACTCAGCTTGCTGGGCTGCAATTTCCACTTGGCGGGCAGCATCCAACTGCATATTCTTGATAATCTGTTAAAGTTGGCGCATTATATCCTCCATGTTGATTGAGGGGTGCTAATCTATCAAAATTGGTGTGTTCTCCCTTTCTGAAGTTGAAACAGATGACTGGGTTTGGCTGAGCACAGGTGAAGTAGTCAGTAACTGTTGAATTGGCGACTGTTGAACCGGTGAGCTATGCCTAACTCTCCTCCGTTTGGTAACCGGAGGTAGCGAAGCAAACACTAGTTGTCCTCCAATAAGATCCTCAAATCGGTAAATCCGCCTTACTCGAGTCCAGAGTGCTCGGGGGGTAACTGCCTCGTCTGAAGCAATTGTGAAACACTACCTTGCAAAAAGAAAAATAAAGCAAAAGAAACAAAAATCAGAAAACACACTGCACCTTGGCTTAGACAAAGACAACACACAGTTGAAATCTTTAAGCTGGACGACTGTACTCAAACACTGATACCCTCAAATTGATACCCGAACTTGCAACTGATACATACATTCCTGCAGAGTTTCACTCTAAAAGTACATACCAAACAAGTGAGAGCCAAAACACTCCTATGATGGGCTAGGGTTACCCTGTCCTAATTTCGTCAGGAGCTAAGGATTCACTACGCAAATAAGCGGTTTCATATAATCCTGTATTGAGCAACCTATCCTAATTTGGAACAGTCTCTATGGCTTTCAATATGCAACTAGGCTGATTGGTTAAAAAGGGTACCTCAGCAAGACTACCTAATATACCTCTCACACCTAACACCGAGAAGTGAAAGGAGGATCAAACGGTGCAACGGTAGTCCAGATCCAAGGCTTGTGTTCCCATCGTGGCAGAGCCCGCAACCGGCCAGCCTTTCGGCAAGCTTTTCCAAGCAAGCCTCTAGCAAACTGCTCATGAATAGCAGATGGCAAACACTGTGACTTAGGCGCACCAATGCAAATGCAATGCAAAGAAACACATAAATGTAGATAAAATAACATATCATGAGTTTGAGTAAAGTTCTCTAAATCCCCAGCAAAGTTGCCAGAAACTGTTGGCTCGCCTTTTTCCGGGCCCCCAGCCTTTTAGAAAGGGTTTGAAAAGAAAGGCCTCACAGTTCGGACTCTACCTGTGGTTCTGATTCTAATCTCACAAGTGCAGTGTGAAATTGATAAATATCGAAGAGTCCAATCTGGCAAATCATTTTGAAAAATCAATTTTAAATCAAATAATGCCAAAATTAGACTATTTTGCCAAATTACAGAGTCGCCACCTAAATATTTTATTTTTGAAAAATTTAGGAAACCTTGACTCGTGCCAAAGGCCACATGTCCATCATCACCAAAGTTGCATCGACTCGGGAACTTAGGTACGAAAGGAGAAGGTCATGAAATGAGCACCCCCGCTTGCTTGATCAAAGATCTGCCTCTACTAATCACTATATGTTTTATAAACCTTATGTGTTCTTGTTCCAGTTATTAGCTAACTTTACTATGTGACGCACACAAGCAAGTATAGACTAAATAATAAGAACTGAAACATTTCAAGTCATGTTTGTTTTGTGGAAATAGTTTGAATTTGCCACCCTCAAGTGGGCTTGGAAATGCGGATTTGCCACCTCAAGTGGACTTAAAACATGATTTGTCATTTCTCAAAGTAGACTTAAAACACACATTTGTTGAATCGTTCCAATTCAAACAATCAAGCCTTCATCCACAAGCATTCATGCAGTTTAGCAAGTAAGCACATAGCCACATGGCAAGCATGCGAAAACATGGCAATATGGCAATCATACTCATGCAAGTATGCTAAAGCATAAAATTTACCGAGTACTCCAAGCCAAAACAAAAATTACTTAGAAAAATGTATGATCCTAACTATGCAAGATGCCTAATGCAACACATGCAATATAAAATTAATAGGTTCGGTTACTAATATGACATTTGCAACACTTTGATAGAATGCTTTGAAACACGTATTCAAAGAAGTATCGAAATTACGATGCAGTTTGAATGATGCGTCGAGCCTCGGTGCATGCAAGACAAATGAATGAATGCAAACATGTAAGCATAAGGTATGCTAATCGAAAATGATCCCTAATCTAACCATCAAAAGAGTTTAAATAAAAGGGAAAAAGACGCGGGGTTGGAAGACATGCACACACACGCACACTTATTACAACGATGCGCCCTCACAAAAGATGGTCCGAATGAATAGGCTAAGCTAACTAGCTACGCTAATTAAGCTAAGCTATTACAACACAATTAATTAACTATTCTAGCTAATCATATATTACAAACCGAATTAAGTTAATTAATTACAACACTTGTATGAATGAATTAGCTACGGCTAACTAATTAAACAAAGCAAGTAAATGGCCTCGAGGGTGAGGGACGCATGCATGCTCGGATGGTTTCCTTCTGAAAATCCACCACCTTGCCATCGGACACCTCTATTTGCACTCACTTGAACACTAATAGTCCTGTCAACTTCTAGAACATCTATGCTCTAACTCAGGAACCCACTTGTGCAAAAATTCATTTCTGGCCGGTCGGCTACCAATGGTGGCTGTCGGCTACCATTGGTGGCCGGTCAGCCACTACTGGTGGCTAGTCGACCACCCCTTCCCTGAATTTCTCTTTTTTTTGCTGCAACAGAGAGCAAACAGAGACAAAGCAGTGTATTCTCAAGGAGTGTATGTACTGCTAACCATGCATGATAGCTAAAGAACCAAGCTTGTACAAGTTTAATGAGTGCAAAACAAGACTCATCAAAACCACTACCCTATCATGCACGATCAAGGGCAATTGTGACCAAGAAAAGTGGCACGTTTCATCACTTTGAGTATGAAACGTCTCATTTTTCTCGGTTTCGAATTAACGTCTGATTCGAACACATGCAATGCAATTGCCTCTTTTACTTGTCATGTTTTATTTACCCATTTTAGATTACCAATCCATTTTTTAATTGATTAGTCCAAAAGATGAGTGTCTTCTAATAGAAAGAGGGCTTAAATCACAAGTACCTTGAGCATGAAAAAGGTCTCATGCTGTTGGTAATGAATTCCCGAAGGAATAAAACCATTAGGTATGAGTGTTTCAATTCCACACTCAAGCTAATAAAGGGTTCAAAGCCACTTTCAAAACAAATGAAATAGTGAAGAATAGAGGGAGATTGCAGAGATTTCAGTGCTGAAATGGAGTGCAACATGACACTAAAACATGCAAGCAACTCATGCAATTCATGTTTAAAAGCCTAAAACATTAAGCTAGTGAAGGAGATTGCACCACAACCACACAATACAAGCGTCAAAGGACCAAACCAGCTGAAAACAGAGCTAAAACAGTCCAAAACAGTAGCAAAAATATGTTGAGATTGAGGTACAAAATGCTAGAAAATCATGCTCACATGTTAAGTTATCTAGACTTGCAAATAAGACACAAGAAGGGGAGGCTACCCCCTCCAATTTTGGACTTCAAAACCAAGTTTTTACCACTGAAATAATTCTGAATTTCAATGGTTTAAAGAGCCAAAAAGTTTGATGTGAATATGCTAAAAGATGGTACAAAAGCTTACACAATAAAGCAACAAGAAGGATGGATTATCCTTATACACAAAATGACCTCAAACCATCACTTTTAGGTCTCAAAAATCAGAGTTTTTTGTAGTTAAAAACTAGGCCAAAAACAGTATAAAAAGATGGCAAAACAAGTGTTCAAAGCAAAGCCTACAATGTAAGTCTTAGACCTCTTGAAGCAAGCACAAAACAGCCACAATTTTAGGCTCAAACCTCCTTCCAAAGCTCAAACTAGGCTCCAAGGGACCTTAGTTCCAAGGTGATCAAGTTTGGTTAAGAGTTAGTGTGCAAAGGTGTAGAGAAAACTAACTACAAAGCACAAAACAAGAAGAGAGGGAGAATTCTATAGAGAGAAAAAATTTTGATCCAAAATGTCTAACCCTCCCAAATGGGAAGGACACCCCCTATATATAGAAAATCAAGATTAAAACTTGTATTCATTCCTCCATACGCGTGTATAGAGATGCACTTCAGTGAGCAACAGTTGGCACAGCTGGCAAACAAATATCTGAAAATGAAGAAAAATGGCCGTCGGCCATCACTAGTGGCCGACTGGCCATCAATGTGGCCGACCGGCCACACTGATGGCCGGCAGGCACAAGCCATGGCCAATGGACTGTGGGGATGGCCAGCAGGCCACCTTCTCCTCCAAACTTGAAGCAACAAGCTCTTGGTCCACAACCAAGCACAAAACAGACAGGTTTAGAGGTTCAAAGGCAAGGCACTTGGCCGAGACCTTCAGGTACTCAAAACGAACACGAGCATGCAAAATCATCGAGTGTTCAAACGATGACGTCCAAGTCTTGAGGATGGTCAAAAATTGGGTGTCTACAATCTCATTTCCCTTCAACAGATGAAAGGCCAAGAAGAAAGAAGAGCCCCATAAAAGTGCCTATGAGTGTAGAGCCTATCCAAACAATATTCCCTTTTCCTAGCTCCCCACTTTCCATTTCTTCTTTGAAGCCAAACATCCCTATTTCTTTATCCCTGGGCTTAACTCCATATCTTCCTCATCTAACCTTCTCATCAGCCCAATTCGTTCTCCCTATAGTCCTTGCTGCTTCTTCCCCACCTGGGGAGGTCCCAGTTATCATTTCTTCTTCAATGATAGCTGATACTCCCAGAGAAGACACTAGTAGCTCACCAATTCCTTGTCCACCACCATCATCCAGCTCTAGTCTTTCTTCTCTTGACTTGCTGGTGGCCAGGACTATAGACACTGCTAAGGACACTCCAACCTCCTCTCTTATCCCTATGCAACCATCCCTTCTTTCCAATAGAGACCTTTATGTACTTTCAATGTCAGTGGAAGAGATGGACATTTTTGAAGCTAGGCTAGCTAGCCTTTTTGACATAACTTATGCCATTCCAGCAGCCAGTAATGAAGCTGAGCCTTGGGTTCTGGCCGACTCTCTCTTGGAAATTTTTGAGAGTTCTTCAACCATCAGTAGGGCTTCCTCTCGCCCATTGGACTTGGGCACCTGTTTCGAATTGCTGACATTATTCTCAAGGATCTCATTCGAAGCCTTACAAAGACCTACCATCAAGAATGGTTTCCTCCAGTGCTATAAGGTCATTGAGCAATCCGATATGGCTATTTCAAGTCACTTGTCCCAGGCAACAACTACCATAGATTTTTATGTCAACATCTGCCATATTGCCAAAGCTGTAGAGGAGAAGCTGTTGAAAGACTAGGAATTTGTTTCCCATATAGATGCTGAAGTATATGAATTGAAGGGACAACATTCCTCTACTTCTTAATCTCGAACCCAGCTCTTGGAGAAGAAGGCTCAATTCGAAGAAGAGTTATCAGTAGTTAATCTAGCCTTGGATCGAATTGCTATAAAGTTGTAAATCACCGATCAAGGGCTAGCTGATCGAAGGCAGGACATGGCTACAGCCATTCAATTGTTCCCATCTCTTAGGAGTAGAGAATCAATAAAACATTGTGCTGATTTTTGGGCAAATTTATGGCTGCATGTACTCAACTCTATATAAAATGAAATCCCTATTTATTGTTTAAGTGTTTTGATACTTCTTGTGTTTATTTTGACTTAGCATTTCTCACACTCCTTGTGTTTCCCACAGTTGGATAATAAGGCTTCAAATACTTGCTATTGATTTTCTTGGGGTGTACATAACCATTTAGATTTCTCAGATGGTATGCTCTCCCAGGCAAAATTCTATGGACTTGATATGGTTCTTCCCAATTAGGTGATCATTGACCAAATTTATGGCTTTTAATTCCTATTGGGAGCATTGTTTTCCATACCAAATCACCTTCATCAAAGCTAATATGCTTAACCCTCTTATTGTAGCTTTTGGCTGCCTTTTTCTTTTGGAACATAATATTATTTAATGCAAGAATTCGAGCTTCATCTATACTCTTTAATTCCAAAAACATGCTTTGATAGTTTTGCTCAGAAGTTAACTGGTCTTGGCATTTCACCCTCAAAAACTTAATATTAATTTCTATAGGCAACACTATATCATGTCCATATACTAAGGCATAAGGAGTTACTCTTGTACTTGATCTTGGAGAAGTCCTATGAGCCAATAATACATCCAACAACAAATTATGCTAATCCCTAGGATTGTTTTCCACAACTCTTTGTATTCCTTTTTTCAAAGACTTGTTGGATGATACTGCTTAACCATTTGTTTGTGCATAGTAGGGTGAAATTAATAAAACTAATTCCAAATTCTGTTGTGAAAGACTTAACCATCTTTTCATCAAATACAGTCCCATTATCTATGGTTATGGTTTGTGGGATGCTAAATATGTGGATCGAATTTTTAATGAATCCAATAACCTCAGTTTGATCCGCAGCTTTATATGGTTTAGCTTCAACCTACTTAATGAAGTAATCTATGGCCACTAGGATGAAACAATGGTGCTTCGAAGAGGGTGGATGTATTTTCCTTATCATATCCATAGCCCAACCTCTAAATAGCCAAGGTTTCACAACTACAT